GGAACAAATCTACGTGTCAAACTGTTAGTTTTATGATTGTGTATGAAAAACAATATATTTAGCTCCCATGAACACTACGGTACAGTGCAAGTACCGTACTTATTCAGTATCAGCAAATTATAATCATATTATCAGTTCTCTCAAACCTTTACTGTGCAAAAAAAAAAAATACAATTTAAAAAAATTCACAGCATTTAGTTGAATCTGCTAACCGTGTCAGTAGGTAAATCACCCCTCGAACACTACATTTCCTTAGCTTTCGACAGAATAACACTCATATAACATATGAGAACCAGTGGCTTAAAAATTGATCAAATTTGGTTCTCAAATAGTTGAAATGTATTTGCAAGGCAGTGAACATGTATTAACCTAAAATTTAATATGTAAGATAAAAAATAAAAAAAATATAGAATATATTAAAAAAAATAATAAAATAATTAATGTAAAAAAAAATAAAAAAAATAATATAATTTGTTTTAATATTAAATTAAAAAATTGTATTAAAAATTAATTTTAAAATTAAATTAAAAATTTATATTCAAAAATTTAAATATTTGTTACAATATATTAGTGTTTAATTTTAATTGTTTTTTTTTTTGCAGCCAAATGCAATTTCGATCAGGATATTAAACCACATCGATTGAGTTTAGATGTTGGGGACTCTGTGGTAATACTTAAAGAGACAACACATTGGTATTACGGCTACAAACAAAGGTGAGTTATAATAATAATAAAAACATTATTTAAAATCTTAAAAAACAATTATAAGAATTATTTTAACCGTTTTAGAGTTCATTTTTTAAAAATATTTTGTACTAAATATAAAAAAAATATAAAAATATAAAAATAAAAAATATAAAAATTAAGAATATGAAAAATAAAAAATAAAATATAAAAATATAAAATATAAAAATATAAAATATAAAAATATAAAAAATAAAACAAAATAAATAAATATAAAAAATATAAAAATTAAAAATATAAAATTAAAAATAAAAACAAAAGAATAAGAAATAAAAATATAAAAAATAAATAAATATTAAAAAATAACTAAATATATTTAAATAAATTTAAATTTTTTGTTGCAAATCACTATTGTAACTAAATTTCTCAGTGTAAAATTATTTAATTTGAGAAATTTTAAAACCTGCATTGGAACTATTGAAAGTGTAGTGTGGTACTCGTATATTTGTGTATAATTTCCGTATATTTTGTACACAAAAACTGGATGAGAAAGCATTTTCAGTTTTTTGAAATTACTATTTATTTTAAAAATATATATTTAATTTTGTGATGTGAGACTTTATTCGCATTTTCTTTTACTAAAATTAAAAGTTGTAATAATAGCAAAAATTGTTTCCCATATTTAGTTGCAGTATTAATACCATAAAGATAACCATAAATAAAAGCAATAGCCAAATCTAAAATTATCCTAAAAAATGTATATATAGCTTTAATTTGTATCTTTCTTTATAGATATATATTAATGCTTGCTTTTATATGATATGTTTGAAATCACATATTTATTATTATTATTGTTAGGGGATATGGCACTGCGACCGTCGGGTCTAAGGTTTAGCAAAGCATCTTCCATGATCTGATCTTGGTTGGATAGTTAATTTTCAATTAAGTTGAGGTTTTTATAAATTTGTTTTATTTTATATTAACTTGAAGTCATTATTAGTGAGGACTTTAATTACTTTAGCAAATTTTAGGGAATTTTTTTATTTATTTCATTTGAAATCTTAAATCTGTTATAATTTCTTGTAAATTATATTGCAGTTTATTATTGAATATTAAATTAAACGTTTGTTAAGAGTTAAAGAGTTCTTGAAATAACATAAAAATAATATATTCTGTATCAAAGTTTATATTTATTTTAAAATGAAACTTGTAAACAACGGAAATACATAAATCAGGTACAGATTATGGTTCTTCCTGTGTTTGCACTAGTGCTATTCTGAAAATAAATCAAAAAAATTTGAATACTTCCATACTTTATTTGTAGAGAACTCAACAACCATTTTTCTCATTCCTAAAACTTAAAACATATGTTAAATATTTTTTCCCGATATGCACAATGTTAAATAGTATTTTACACTAAAATTCCACATTAAGAATTTCAAACATATTGCACACTTATCTGCATATCCATAACATACTCTTTTCCATAAAAATATTCCTTTAAATAGTTAAGATACAAAATTTGTATCTTTTTATGCAAACATCAAAAATAAATATGAGACCAACTGACGAGGCTTGCAAACATTTGTTTCTGCTTTTGGTGTGAAATTCGAGTTGATTTTGTTTTTAGTTTTTATAATATTTATATTATTTATATTCTCGCATATATAATGTAATAACTTTCAACAAAATATTTTCTTATCTATTAAAAATAAAACCTTTTTTTCTTTAATACTTTTTAAATACATATTGAGTTGGAAGTTTATCTACATTGAGTTTTTATATATCAACGAGTTGACGGACGCATAATATTCGCTCATACTCATTCCATATTATTTGTATTGTAGCGCGAGAAATTATGATTTCTTAAGACCGACCTATTCTTATCTTTTATTTGTCTGTCATGCTGCCCGTCTTTCTATCTACATGTTTTTCTTTCTTCAAGCCTTTCTGTCTGCAGCGCTTATTCAAGTAGTAAATAGCCTTGCACTGACGTTTGACCAATTTATTTATGTGTTTTCTTTATACGTATTCATTATTATGTCCCTTTTATTTCTTTTAATTATTTATTTTATTATTCCAAAGAATTCTTTTGAAAATTAAATAGTAACCTTTTCATATTCAAGCTGACCCTTAACCTAGGCATCAATAAGAGGGTACACATGCAATCTATCTTAATTAACACCCAGTGTGATTCCATAGACTCTAATAAAATTGACAAAATTAAATAAGAAATATATATATATATTTATATATAAAAATGTAAACAAAGATGTCGTAAATAAAATTAAAATAATCAAATATTTTATTTATATATATTTTGAGTACGAGTATCTGTCGGTATAAATAATAATATTTATTGATAAAAATTATTTTAATTTAAATTATTTTCTCACGTTTTCTCGTTGTGCTTGGCGTCTTCTGTTGGAAGTTGCCGAAATTAAATTATCAACGCTTTTAATTGCTGATAACGAATAAAAGTCGAAATTCCTTCCCGTTCTACCAAATTTTTTGTGCTGCAAGGGGAACTAAAATATAATAATTAAAAATTTATTGATTTTATTTAACTAATTAGTTAGTAGTGCTTAAGAAAGTACATGTACAAATATGGAATTTATTTTAATTTTCAACACTGATAACTATTACCATTAATGAGTGTGACATATTACACTGAAATAATTCGAATGCTTCCTTTATGTACAATATTTCATTTTTTCTCCTATGTCATTAATCAGCTATAACAGCATCATTAATCAATGTAAATGAGCAGATACTGATACAATTTCACTATGAAGATGACAGATAAAAACGATTAGTTATTATCTCTCATCATGTACTCGCTTTAGCATAAGAATTAGTCTAATCTTCAACCAATTAAAAAGTCAAGTCAAATTAAAAATGTTTTATGGGAGGATTTATAGCGAAAATATTTCTTATTTCACTCAAAGTGGATCGACGAAATCGTATAAGCTTCAAAATTCTACAAAATTTTTAAATCCTTATCATTTTAAATCACTAAAATAAATTTATTGAATAAAATTAAATTTTAAATAGTTATAGGTGAATTGGTCTGGTGCGTAAATCTGGCCGTTCCTAAAACCAATGTAGTAGAATAGTAAAATCTCTAACAAGATTTCTGTAAAATAGTTTAGTTTATTTCGTTCCAACAGTTCGAGTTAACTGGTTATTTTTCAAGACCTAATATCTTGTGACAATAAATGAGCAGATAATACCCGATGCGGGTTCTTCAATCTATGAATCTAAAAATGATAGTGCAAGTATATCCTATTAATCTATAACATCAAAGTCTGAAAACATGGTGATATGACCTAACATATAACGAATCTAAGCTATTTGAATTATCTAAAAATTATTAACTTGATTAAATATAATAACAAATGTCTATAGTTTAAATAAAGATAGATATTTAGGTAATCTAGAAGAAAAATTTAGCTTATGCTGAGCACCAAAAAGTCATTATGAATAATGTGGGTAGGTAGAATGATGGCTAATAATCATTGATAGTTACAATTATTACTTAAAATAATATTGCAGAGTAACACTTTCAGTATTGTCATTTGTGAATTGTTTGGTACATATAGTATATCCATTACATCCGAAAACCTCATAATCCTCTAAATAAATTATGAGCATATTATTGAGACTACTTTATGTATGCCGGTTCGCTTTTGGAACCAGTACCAGATATAATCAGTGATACTGACCTATATAATTGAATTATAAAATCAACTGTAATAACTTCCTTTTTTATATGAGAAATATTATTTTTATTTAATATATATAAATATATCTTTCTATTAACTTAAGTGTTGAAGTCAACTATCATTAATTGTATATAATTTGCTATAAACGCTATTTAATTTCATATAAACACCTTTAATTACGATCTCTTATTTTATCAATAGACAATTATGTGGGGAAGGTACCATATTAATTCAATTATAAAGTTGTTTTGATTTTTACTGGAGACTTTTAATGATTTCAATAGATTTTGTGGTTTGCATTTTTTATTAGACAATTTAAATAATTTTTTAAATGATTTAACTTTGGGATGACTAACATATAACTAAAAGTATGTCAAAGCAGTGTGTTGACATACACAACCAAAAGTACATTCATTATATACTAAATTTTATTAATGTACATATAAACATTAAATGTACTTAATATTTTTCATATGTTACTGCAGTTAATATATGTTTCTCATATTTTAATTATTTTTGTATTTCAGATATAAAGACCAACGCGGCATATTTCCCAAATCCTACATACATTTGTGCGATTACACAATAGTGAATGGCGAATATTGTATGCAGCGTACGGATATTGTAGAGGAAATTACCAAAGTACTCTTGGAATGGGGCAGCATATTGAAGCAATATTTTTTGGTAAACATTCTTTATTATATATACATATATGTACATATATATATGAACTAATATATGTGTAAACACAAGAGCACCACACACAATTGCACATAATTGACCCGCAACAAAGGCCTCACTACTAATTAAACTAATTTACACATCATTGAAAATATCTGACGACGACGCTCGCTCAATTTTTATCTTTTCGAACGCTATAAAATAACAGATACCGGCTTTTCCGTTGAAGAATTTTACTAAATTTATGAATGAAATATTGCATGAAATTGTAATATTGTAGCAATATTGTAGCAAAAATGCCAATTGACACAACTGAGACGTCGGCTACTCTTATTACCAGAGATTTTGTTGTTGTGACCATACGTATAACAATTATTTTTGTATTTGCAGGTCAATCATCCCGACTTTCATACCATACGTTCCAAAATGAATGATTTGAATAATAATCGTGCTTTGCTTATATCGGGCAATTTGCCCGTCGACGAAATGCGAAAAGTGAAACTATTGGCAACGTCACAGATTGACACAGGAAATAGCCTCTTGGGTTTGGATATGGTTGTGCGCGATGAAAGTGGTGATATATTGGACACAACGAAGACATGCACAACGGAATTATATGAGCATCACTTGAATGCGGTTAATCGCATTATTAAAGCAAATGTAATTTTTATTTGTTTATATTGCACACTTTTTTTATTAGATTTTCTAAGCAATACTAAAATTGTTTATATTTTATGCAGCGCCCTCAATCAAATCAACGCACTTCACGTCCCTTAAATAAATACTCCCATAATATATTACTCCATGTAAATGCATTTGTATGCAAATTTCAAGAAGATTCTGATCTACTTTTTACGCTTTTTGACGGCGAATCACACAAACCGATAAGTGAAAATTATGTGGTCAAATGGTCACGTACCGGTATTGCGCGTGATATCGATCAATTTGATAACAATCGTGTACTCTTCACCGATCTAAGCAAAAATGACTTAAGTATATCGAAGATTTATCTTGTTTGTTATGCGATACGCGTCGGTGGAATGGAAATGAAAGAGAATGACTCCAAGCGTGTAAGCATAACGAATACGATGCTAACGGCGGCAAGTAAAAAGAATTCACAACTTTCGATCAGCTCCAATGGTTCTTTTAATAACACAGAGTACATAATGCGACGTCCGTTCGGAGTCGCGTGTAAAGAAATCACACCCATAATTAACAAACCAGAAGATTCAAAGGGTAATTTGGACTTACCTTTTATAATGTGTGAAAAAGATAATCTGGATGCTACATTACGCAAGTTAATTGCTAATAAAGATATAGGTAAAATTGATTCTAAAATGGCTGTTACTGTTGAAGTGCTACAAGGCGATATAAAACAGATTAAAGAAGATTTCCCACGTTTAGTGCATACAAATGTACCTTTAGCGCGTAAAATGGGCTTTCCAGAAGTTATACTGCCGGGAGATGTTCGCAATGATTTATATTTGACATTATGTTCGGGAGAATTTGCGCGTATTGCTAAAACATCTGAAAAAAATGTTGAGGTTACAGTATGTGTTTGTAATGAACTGGGACAACTTGTGCCGGGCGTAATGAGTATAGGTGCTGGACATCCACCCATTGATGAATATAAATCTGTCGTTTATTATCATGATGATAAACCAAAGTGGCAAGAAACATTTAAAGTTAGTTACATTATTATAATTTTTTGTTATATTTACAATAAATATATTTTAATTTTTAGATACATGTGCCTATAGATGAATTCAAACAGTGTCATTTAAAATTTACTTTTAAGCATAGGAGCTCCAATGAACAAAAAGATAAGTCTGAGAAACCTTTCGGCTTATCATATGTAAAATTAATGCAAGATAATGGAACTACCATAACTGTAAGTAACACTTTTTCAATAAAAATAGAGGACATCTATTTGATGTCATTGGTATCACTTATGTTCTAAATATTTTACCCACAAAGCCGTCATTTTCTGAGCTAAAACCAATCCTTTGGAAGCTTTCGAAAATACACTCTCTCCAAAAGTTATGAAAATTTAGTTATACTCATACGTTCTTCACATATGTCACTTTATTTATCTATGCTTCTTTCTCTCCAGATCTCCAGACAAGTCTATTTACCTTTAGTCATTTTCGCATTGTCTTTCTTTTTCTCTCATCTCTGTAGATCCTACCTGCGATGGCTATCAACGTGGGAGATTTAGAATATTGCTTAACAATAATAACTCAATCTTAAGTGTTTTCATTTAAGATAAATTGTAGAGTTGATATTTTTGTCTATGAGTATAATCTTTATATGACCAAAGTGATCGATTTTCTTCTTAAACAGAATTTTTTCAAGAATCAATGCTTTCTTATAAAGTCGCATTGGTTGCCCTGTAAAGGATGACAATTGAATCAATAATCTAGTTAAATACATTGAATCCTTGCATATAATACACATTGTGTATATACAGTTTTAACTGAGCTTAAAATGTTACGATAAATAAATAATTTGTTAATTTAAAAATATCTACTATCTGGTGTTTCTAAAGATCTAAATACATGTTTATCATATTATCATTACAGCAAGGACTACATAATTTGGCTGTATATAAAATCGATCATAAAAAATTCGACAAAACGAATGCGAACTCTTATATGGAACTGCCAGCTACTATCATTGAATTACAGGGCACAAAACCTTCCATAACTGGTTTAAATTTATTGCCAAAGGATCAGTGTACGATTTGTGTAAATCTTTGCAGCACAAAATTAACACAAAGTGGTACGTATTCCAATTTTTTTTTTAAACAATATATTATGTGTAAGCATTATTTCTCAATAATCTCTAAATTTTTTAGTGAGCTTATTGGGCTTATTGAACTGGTCAGCACATAAGGATACTTTGGAAGAATCCTTAAATGCTTTATCAAATGTACCTGGGGAAGAGGTTGTGAAATTTTTACAAGATATTCTAGATGCTTTATTTAATATATTGGTAAGACTAATATAACACATTTAAAGATTTATATTTGCAATATATAATTTCTTTATTGTTTTAGGTTGATAATGACAATCCTCAGAAATATGATCAGTTAGTTTTTATGAGTATTATACATCTCATTGAAACTGTTTCAGATCTGAAGTATCAACATTTTTTGACTGTATTAGATGTATATATAAATCAGAGCTTTTCAGCAACTTTAGCATATGGGTAATCTAGATTTGCATAATTAATATTTTTTTTTTTTGAAATATTTAACGATACTTTTGCTTATATTGCAGAAAATTAATTGATGTACTTCAAAAGAATATTAAGGAAGCAATAGAACCAAAGGAAAAATCAGTTGATGGTGTTGAGATCGATGAACGTATTGAAGTGAAGCGTTTATATAAAACCACAAGATATTTACATTATGTTATGAAATTTGTTATACGTTCAAGAATTTTATTTGCTGCTATCAATGGCAATTCAGATTGTGATGATTTTGCGAATAAACTTCATGGTATGGATTTATCTTAATTATTAATTTATTATAATACACACAGTGTTTATATTATGTATGATTTTATTATGTGTGTGGTAATATTATTTACACGTTATTATTATGATTATTATTTTTATCATTAAAAATTAATAGAAGTAAATCGATGTACTAATGCACAAAATACAAAAATACGAAATATTAATCTAAGTTAAGATATCTTTAGACTGTAGATCATGTCATTTTCATTGTTGGCCTAAATTGGATGTTAGGTATGCGTTAGACCATTGGTATCGATTATGATTTTGCAAACAGTATATATTGTTAAACATAAGTATTTTAAAATAGTATTTAGCTTTTAAATTTGACTAAAAAATGATAAATACTATATATTTTATAAAATTTTAGAAAAGACTTGAGTATTGTTTTAATCCATTATGACATTAAAACCACTAGTATATGCATAAGTTTTATTTAATCTTAAAAAATCTAAATTATTTTTTTTTCACACTATTTGTTATTTACAAAACATATTTATATTTTTTTAATTAATTTTCTTGTTGGATTTATTCTAGAATTACTAGAAATGTTCATAAAAATGATCGCTTGTCCGACAGATCTATTAAAATCAGAAGGAGCTTTGCTTAAAAATTTACATATAATTGCTACAGACTTAATGCAAGTTTTTGATTCTGTACGTTTAAGGTAAGTTTTATTTGTTGTAATATTATTAAAAACAATTTTTTTTGATATATTTTTTTCAATATTTAGCATTGTTATTGTTAATATATTAAAACAATTCCCACCTCGTCGTCTAACACAGTCAAAAATGGGTTGCATTAAAGATTTTGTTGATTCAAAACTATTTCATTTACCAGAATGTCGAGCTATTTTATTGCCGGTATTTTGCAATCACATTAAAGATAGACTAGAGAGCAAAGAAGAGGTGAGTCATGTGTATAAATATAATTAACTTAATCTAATTTAAATTGCTATCATTTGTGTTTAATTAATTTTATTTACATTTCAATTGAAAGCTAATATATACATATTATAACATTGTTACTTACAAGTAATACACTTTATCTTTTGAACTTGCTAATGGTATATAATATGTAAAATTAATGAATAGAATATTTTTGACGTTATCTTTAATTAAAATGATTTACATATTATTTACAAGAAAAATTTATGGTATAACGAAATCATTGCAATAACATAAGCTTTACAAAAATAAATTAAATATTGCAAATTGAAGCAATTCATTTCATTTTATTAAGAAAAAATAGAATTAATAAATTTAAACAAAAACAGGAATTCATTCATTTCATTTACAACTTTGTTTACTTAATTAAATTTTCAAATAAATTAAAACAGATAAATCCATTCACAATTGAGTTTCTTGCAAATACATATAAATATAAAATATTAGATATATACAAAAACAAATTTAGACATGTAAATCCATCCGCATTCAAGTTTCTTGGAAATATCTTCATATAAAAAAAATAAAATTTTTCTATTTAAAAAATTTTTTAAAATAATAATAATATTTAATATTGAAATAAAATACTTTGAAGTATTGATACCAGTGCTTCGAACCTGAACTGAACCATAAACAGACAGAAGAATTTAGTATATTCGCCATATTAAAAATCGGAACCGAATCGATATTGTTACATTCCAACCGATATACAATTTTGAAGCCCTGATTTAAATTCTAAAAAATAAAATATATTAAAATTTATCTTTAAAAATAATTAAATTGTTCATTGTTCATGTTCATGGAAGTGTTTTTACTTGTTTTTAAACAATGTTATAATATAAATAATTTATTTAAAATTATCTAAATTATATATACAAAATTTTATATACAATTGTTTATTTAAATTTTATGTATAAGATGCTTAAAATTTTTTTTATCTGTTTAATACATTTTATGTATAGGAAATTAGTATATGCATTTTTAGCATGTTTCGTGTTTGTCCAATAATATCACATATTCACCATTTATTTAAACAAATTATGTGTTGAATGTTTTGTTGTTGTTTTAATATAATTGTTAATGTTGCATTTTGCTTAGCACGTTTTTTTAATAATATATTATAATATTCAAACCAATATGCACTAAATATTTATAATACTTGTATATGTCTTCAATCGTATTTATCTATAAGTAATTGACTGGTTTTGTTTAAATTAAAATGGAGTTATTTACAAAATTCTGTTTAAGTGTAATAAAATAAATTGATATGCACTGACTGTTGTGATTAGTTATTTAAAATTATTTCACAATTATATTATTTAATAGATGCAAATCTTTTATCTATTAGTATTTATATAGCATGTATATGTATATTAGTAAGGAAAAAATATATAAGTTTGTTAAGTGTTTATTAGAAATTTTGTTCTGTCTGTACTGATTATAAAAATTTTGATTAATGATATAAAGCAAATATAAAGTTATATATATAGATATACATTAAGTATGGTTTCTGATATATATATATTCATCAAACGATTTATTTTTTCTTGCAATTAGAAAAAAAACTTCATCAAATACCGTAATGATGAATCAAAATAATCATACATATACATTCATATATAGTTTTTTTACTAGATCCATAGCATTTTTTTTTTAAATATGCATCAAGTATTGAATATATCACTTTATTATATTATATAAAACTCAATTTTTATCTTATAAAATAAAATACTCCAAATCATTATACTAAAACAGAACAACTGTTGAAGGTTATTCATTGAATAAAACTTCAAATGTAATATAGTTATAATAAAAACACTGTACTACTGTACACTACTGTATGGATGTGTAACTTACAGCAAAGCCTCAAATACTGCTATAAAACAATAACAGATAGCACAAAATCTGGTTTTAAGAAGACTAATTAAGATTCCTTGGTATATTAGAACAACAGACATGCATAGAGATCTAAGAATTGACTTATTGAAAAAGTATATCAAGGACAAAGCCCTAAAATTGTTCACAAAAGTTGATACGTTGCCCAACCCCGCTCTAACAAACCTTAAGTCCACCTCAGGACGCACAGAAAGATATGCTGATCTACAGTCCGTCATCAGTTAGGAAATAAATAAATGATAATGATTCTAGTATAGTTAAAGTTTTGTGAGGGATAAGCCCCCCAGTCACAATAGAGTAAAAGTGCGCAATAGCACTAACTCAAATCACAACAACAGCAACAACAAAAACAAATTTAAATATATTATGACAAGTGATGATACTTTACAATTAAGAGAATAATTGTAGTAGTTAATAACATTTTTATATTGTTGCAGTTTATCCGTTTGTTCTAATATAACATACCAGGTAAATTTGTTGGTAAAACAGCAATAACAAATAAAACAAGTATGACATTGGTTTGTTTAGATGTCTAAAACACATCTTTATTTAAAGTTGGCAGGGTTTAAGTCTAACAATCTAGATATTATGTACGCATAATTAAATCTATGGTACTACTGAAGCAATAATTTTTGTAATAATTTTTAGTCAGTTGACACTTTCTGTTATATTTTCCGTGATCTTAAAAATCTCCATATCCAAGTGTTTAAAAAATTATAAGTGTTTAGGAACGTTTCAGTACCGACACCTTAATATTCTGTGTGCTGTTATCGACATAAAAACGCTTTTACACAATGTCTTCTTGACCCTATAACAACATAATGAAGGATATATGAAGGATATTTTGCATATTGCATTTGTGTAATAGAAATGGTTATTTAAACAATAATCTGTGGATATCATTCCTTTTACTCTTTTAACCTATTTAGAACCTCGGCTATTAATTTTAACTTTTAGTTAATCTTGAACAGTTTATATATGCTAGGGCTATCTATTTGATTATATTGATAAGTATTTGTCAGTTTGGTTTTTGGGAATCTTTATTATCTTTTGTGTCAGTATATCCATTGTTGAAGCATAAAGAATGGGGGGTAGTAATCAATGACTACTTAGAGTATGCTCTACCCTCCCTATTTGCACTTTTGTATTGTGTTTCCTTTATGGTTTTAATTTAGATTGAACAATTTTCTTCCTTCCTGATTTTACTATCATAAACTAGAACTGTGTTATATTAAGTGCGTCAGCTTAGAGGACTTTTGTGTTACTTCAATATTGGTTAGTGCAACACTATTATTATTTTCTTTTGTCTCATTTTTGCTAGATTAGATTAAATTATGCTGGAAGACCAAAAAGGCCACGTGTTGACCATTAAGGTCCATTGCGATACCAGATCAAAATATTATTTTAGCGATTGTATGCATCACTTAGGTTGCGCGTTTCATTAGCAAAATTTATTAGGATTCCAACAGAAACCATAGGTATGTACTCCAGTCCTGTAAAACTGACAGCCCTCAAGTATTTTTGTTGAGTTCGCGAGAGAGCCGAGAGAGAGCACCATTTTTGCTATCAGGAATGAAATTATTTGTTTTGATTTTCATTATACTATAAATTTTGTCTATCTATCTATCTTGAAAAAATGCACTGTCACGTACCGCTGGAGTTTTTATTCCTTCCTTCATATTGAAGATGCCCGGTATTGGCGAGACTGTCAATAAAACCCTGACACAAAAGCATATTTACAAATGTTTATAACACAACTTTAAAAATAATAGGTGTTTTTAAAGTATATATACTAGTATTATGGTCAGCACTGAAGATACGCTGTTATTTCGATATCGCCGGCATGCAAGATTTCAATAAAGATTGCTATTTTCATAATTTTTTTGCGGTAATTGTTACGTTTAGTTTTTGAGCTATTGGTTATCAGATAACGCGTCTACTTATTGTTATTTGTTGTTTATCAAAGAAAAAATTGTATATTCTAGTTGATAATGCTAGATAATGTGAGTATTTTTTTTTGTTAATGTAGAAGCTTTTATTGATATTGAACCTCGATATCTTGGGAAGAGATCATATGCGCTTCAATGAGGTAATACAATCGATTATGATGATCTTGAAAAGTTAGATATATCGAAATATAGAGCAGTGGAAAAAGTTGTTGAAAATAGCTGACTCATAACAATCCTTTCCAAATCGGCATATTTGAGTAGTGTGTATAAAGCTAGAAATATAAAGATAAATTTCAAAAATAAATGTTAGTAAAATTCTTTATTACCACTAATATTTAAAAATATTCAATAAAATTACACGATTTAAAATTGTCGTGCTTGTAAATGTTCTGTTCTACTGGAAAATGGATTTAAATTTATAAATATGAGTTAATTACAATAATAAATTGTATTGGTTCATTACCTTTTAATTAAATATAATTTCTATTTGAATTATATTTATACATCTTTGAATTTCTGATTTTATTATATATATATTTCATTTCATATACAATATTTTTGTACAATTTAGTAAATAATATAATTGAATTTTTTTTTTGTTTGCACGTAACTTTTATGAGAGTATCATAAACATTTACATATATATTTATATATATATTAATATTATATATATATGGTTGGCTTAAATCACTTCATATTAGTTAGTAATTTAGAAATAATTGAATTCACATCAAACGCATTCCTTTATTAAAATCGCGCTCACATTTAAAAGTTGCACAAGAGCACAACAACTGCATCATTATTATTTATCATCAACCATCACTGGGTATCCTTGTTGTAATAATTTACAAATTAATTAATTAATAAATATATTTTTAATAAAAAAGAAAAACGCAATTTATTCATTTGAATGTCACAAGTTTACCTTTTTTTGTACCTAATTTTTGGATTATAATTATCTTTATATAATTTAGTTTGAACTTCATTAAATAATTTCTTACCTATTCCAATTCATGCCATTTTTAATGTGCACATAATTTTTGTAAAATACTTTTTTTTTTAAATATATAAATCTATATATTTTGTATCAAAATGTTTGTCTACTCCATACAATTTATATACACACAATCATGATGGTTAGGGCGATACTAAGTCCGATATCTGGCAACAAGAAAAAAATCTCTCAAAAGCAGCCAAAGTGCTTGGACAGTTAAAATCACAACTTCATACACGTGAAACAACGGCTAAGCAAAAGGTAATAAACAAATAAAAATAAAAAAAACTAAAACAACAAATACAACAACAACATATAGTATAGTATATATAATTTTTTTTTTTTTAATCAACCACTAAGCTGAAGAATGTACCACTAGTAATTAGTAAAGAGTTTCTTTTAAGGTGAATTACTAGATCGTTTTTCACGAATATTATTGGGTAAAAAATAATGTTTGACTGCAAATCTTATTCATTATAAATAAATAACAAAGTACTAAGAATAATATAAATAGTTTATTTAAGTTTCTTCTCTCGGGCTATTCTGTGTAATTATTGAATGTATCTGCGGGATGTGTTCAATTTTTTCTATCTAATTTTCTAAATTTTTATAGTAATTCGACAAATTATATCGAGTAATTCAGCACTCAGTTATGCCCAGAGTAACTGAGTGCCTAATTTGGGCAATATCGTGAATACATACGTAGTTTATCCAGACAATTCCAGCTATTGCATCAGATAACAATTTTGTTGCAGCTAACAGCACCAAATTCGTTTGAATTTGTTTGACTCTTTCTCTCTTATTTAACAGATCTAATAATTAGTAACTTTTTTTTTTTATAACAATACTTGAAGGTAGACTGAGTTAAAACCATGGACTCATAGTCAATACTAATTTAAAATGAAAAGTTGAAGGCTCTTGTCAATATTCAACCTCATTAGTGTAATTATCATCGCTGCAATAGGTGTAAATATGTACTGATGAAGAAAAAATAAATAAAGATGTGATAACTGCCGTACATAAATATTTCAAATACTAACGGCTCAACGTTTAATAGATCATTTCCTACACGTTATACACATCGATTTGTTTCTTCGTATCAAGAATATATTGACACCTACTGTAAGGTTGAATATCTTCAAGAAGTTTCAGTTTTTTGTATCAAGTTAGTATTAACTTTGAGTCCACAATTACAACTCAACGAGGTTCTCAACAAACCTTAAGTGTACCTTAATATTAGATTAAAAATGATTTGACTATTGTAGTAAATATTCTATCGGTTTATTATTCTATCGAAAATGTCCAATATATGTTGAAAATAGGAACTAAATTTATTTACTTGCCGCATATATTGGACAAAAAAGTTTTCGAACATTTGTTTTTTTTTGTTTTTCTAGCTATATTTTATAAGATAGCAAACATACGTATTTATAAGTAGTTGATTATATTATCATTTCTTCTTCTTTAATATTTAAATACATAATTAATTCATTTTTCAAAGAGTTCAGAAACAATCTTAGTACACGGCATTAAAAGAACACTTTTACGAGGTACGCCAGTGAAAAAAAACACTTGATTTCACTTTGTTTATTTTCAAATGCAAAACATTTTACTGCAGTTTAAGTTATCATTTTTTGGCTTAAATGGCTTGTAGCACTGCAAAAACAACAACAATTAACTATTTACTTGCAAAATAGGTGTGGTTGGATTCTGGTTTGTTTTTAAGTATTTAATATGAATTTATTTGTTATTAAAATAATATGCATTTGTATGTTTATTGCTTTGAAAAGTATTCTTAAGCTTCAAAATTCGCGCTGTTGTGCTGTGCTCAGTTATAAATAATTTAAATCAAATGATTTTATACAATAATAGCTTTTATAATACCTTATATAATCTGTAATAAGTATATTATAATAACTAATAAGTATATTATAATAAGTATATTATATAACTATATTATATATGTATTTTATTTAACTATATAAATTATTATTATGAAAAAAATTAAGATTTCTTATGTAGTCAATATATTCAGCTTTTGTTAAATGTTGCATTAGTGTAATATCAAACATTATAAGTAAAGAAGAATTTATCTAATACTATAATAACTTCAATATAAAATAAGTACTATATATAATAGTTATATTACTGTATCTTCTTTGTAATTTATTTCATATTAAAACAAACGATATTATCTTAAGAGAAGGAGTAATAATTTGTTATTTATTATAATTATTACAAGAATTGACATAGAAGAGTCGTATTAACCAGTATAATCTCTGAACCCGATATAATATTAATGATATTATATATCGTTACAACTTCGGATATATCATAACTTCATATTATGCATACATCGACAATTATTGGAAATGGAAAACTGTATTTGAATATGACCGCTATCTTCTATATATATTATATATATATATAATATATCACTGTACCCTATTCTAAACTCAAGATTCATAAGAATATGTGATTCTCAACATATCTTTATGTAACAATGATCAGACAGAAAGATGATTATTTATAGCAGCAGGAATTATTTAAGACTAATTAGTATAGAGTAGAATACACCAAGCCGTCAATATCACCGAAAGAATACATCGATAACTATTGCAATGATATAATCATTACTGATGATATTTACAAACCAAAATTATTTTTACAAACTGAGGCAATGTTCTCAAAAAGATCTTATATTATTTTTTTTGAAGATATCATCTTAAATGGTTTCTGACATGTATAAAAAATTTAAGAGTGAAATCGCCCAACATCCGGTACTGAGGCCAGAAGAGTTCTGGTATCAGCAGTTCGCTATTAAGGTCGTCACTAACTCCGCGGCCAAGTCTCTACAGCCATAGCTGGTCCACCGTAGATTAAAGGGTTGTTCGGGTCTCATTTGGATATACATGCATATCACACCATACATTCTTACTTAATAAATAAACTATAGGGACAAAGAACAGAGGTAAAAGTTTATTTATACTATCAATCAAACCCAGGGTGTTTTTCTTCACCCCGTGCAGTTATTGGCTAAGAGTAGGTTTCTTTAGATATTCCTTATAGCTGAAATGGGAGACATTCTGATTTTCCGAGCTCTGATTATCAACAATATTTAGTAAATTTCAATATTCTGAGCACTTTTTTTAAGCTTATTCTTTGAGATATTAAACTTTGAAAGTTGAAATTTACTAAAATTCGTTGTTAATCCTGGGATCAATAGTACTATAGCATATATAATAACTACAAATTAATATTTATCAAAATGTATAACAAAAAATGAACAAGAATTGGAAAAACACGTTACTCAATCGCTTAATATTTATGTAATGGTTAAAGTTTTTTTGACTATATTGGTTTCTAAAAGACTTGGTTCCAGAAAGTTTTTTAGTCGACAAAGAATAAAATTCGATTGTATTGAAATATTTGTCCGATGAAATTTATTAGAAATGCATCAGATTAGCCGAAGATAATGTCTAATAAATATCACTAATATCGTTAAGTTTAGGAAGTCGTTTATAAGTGCTATCCCAGACCTTTAATCGAAAAGAACTCAATTTCTTGGTGTGATTTTCGATTAAAAAATGCTGCCATGACTGGGACCTCATTTCAGGGCTAAGAATAATTATTGATGTATGGTTTTTACAAACTGTTCTGGTGCTTTTTTTTTTTGACAAAAAATATACAAATAATAAAAGGGTTTCAAACAAATATGTATTAAAAACTATAAATAGCTTTTACTTCTTACCAAACCAATATATGATTTACAATTAATTTGAAACCCAATAGATTCTTATTGTTAATCTTATTTATGTTGAAGCTGTTATGAGCCAGTGTGCTTAAGCACTTATACTTATACTCGAGGTATTTTCCAAAATCCCTCTTTACACCTTGACTAGATTATTGTTTATCACTTCACCAGACTAAGCATAATTGACCTCAGATCTGCAGACCTCCCCGAGGAGCCTGTAATGATTAATAAATTGAATTTATGATAAATTATTAAGTTATTTTTAAACAATGCTGTTTAAAATTTATTTTATAGTATCAAAATTCCCACACAGCGAGGTCTTATGTTAATTATTATATATGTTAAACTAATTATATTATATATCTGTTATACCTAATATTAATTATTCAACAATATGAATAATGTATTTATAAATATTATATGTATCCTGCACACTATAGGTAATAGAATGTATCAACATTATGAACAATATATTGAAATTGTTATATCGCACGGACATCGGTTACACACACAATGACGTGCGTGATATGATGTTAATTCTTCTACGTACAGTCATTAAAACCTCTCACGCTCTGGATCGTGAAAATCAACTAGTCGGAAACTTGGTGGCTATAATGCTGGGCATATTACAACGCATGGATGCTGCACATTATGAAATCTTTGTGAAGCATTTAAATAATCGCTTTGAATTACAAGATTTCATTATTGAAATACTATTAGTATTTGAAGAATTAGTCTCTCCACATCAGAAACCAGTCTTCCCACGTGATTGGATGGATATGATAATGCATCAAAACACTGTAATACTAGGATCATTGCAGCACTTAACAATCGTTATAATCGATCATTTCTTTGATCCATTTGAAAAACAAGTTTGGTCGAATTTCTTCCAGTGTTCCATAGCATTTCTTATACAATCACCTCTACAACTCAATGACTTTAATGACAATAAACGTCAAGTTATATTCGCCCGTTATCGTGACATACGCAAAGATACAGCTCATGAAATACGTAAAATGTGGTTTCAATTGGGTGAGCATAAACCAAAGTTTGTACCACAGTTGGTCGAACCGATACTAGAGATGAGTATGATACCAGAAGTGGAACTGCGTAAAGCCACTATACCTATATTCTTTGATATGATGCAATGCGAATACTACAGTTCGAAATTGGTGCACGATAGCTACGGTGATACAAAGCGCAATAACGCACATTACAAAGCAAACTTCAATGAATTCGAAACCGAAATGATCGAAAAATTAGATATTTTAATTGGAGCAGGTTAGTAGTAAATATTATTTCGTTTTAATATTTGTATAATTAATATGAACCGTTATTTCACAGGTAAGGGAGATGCGCAATATAAGGAACTATTCGCCAAAATTTTGTTAGAGAAGTGCCAAGCACATAATATACTCAACATAGAGGGCACAAAGTTTGTTAATATGGTTTCAAAACTAATGGATCGTTTACTGGAATATCGCTGGATTATACAGGACGAAAGTAAAGAAAATCGCATGGCTTGCACTTTTTCACTGCTACAATTCTATTCAGAAGTGAATCGCAAAGAAATGTACATACGCTACGTTTATAAACTGTGTGACTTACATATGGAATTCGATAACTATACTGAAGCTGCTTTTACTCTGAAATTGCACACTGAACTACTGCTCTGGGATGACACCGAGCTATCCCCATTGTTACGTTCACATCGCCATATAACTTGTCGTACACATCGGGAACTTAAGGAAGCGCTTTATTATGAAATTATTGACTATTTTGATAAGGGCAAAATGTGGGAATGCGCCATTGATATGTGTAAGGTGCTCTCACAACAATATGAAAATGAAATCTATGATTATCTAAAATTATCCGAACTACTTAAGAAAATGGCACAATTTTTCGAAAAAATTCTTAAGGAATTACGCCATACTTCAGAGTATTTCCGTGTGTGCTTTTATGGTTTAGGTTTTCCACGTTTTCTGCAAAATAAAGCGTATATCTACCGTGGAAAAGAATATGAACGTTTGAGTGATTTTTGTACACGTATTTTGGTCCAGCATCCACAAGCTGAACTGATGCAAACACTTGAAGCACCCGGTGAGGATATAACGCAAACAGAAGGACAATTTATACAAATCAATAAAGTGGAGCCCATAACAGATGAAGTGTTTGCTAAGTTTAATGATAAAATTATTTCAAATGAAATTGTTAAATACTTTGCATCGAACAATGTGCAAAAGTTTAAATTTTCAAGACCTTATCGAGAAAGTACTGGCGCTGAAGCTGACGATGTACGTAGTTTATGGCTTGAACGAACTGTATTGACCACACGTTTTTCGTTACCTGGCATATTACGCTGGTTTCCAGTAATTGACACAAGGAAATTTAAGGTGATAATAATAAAATATAATAATAAATTAAAAAAGTTTGAATTATAATTTTAAATTTTTTAATTCGTCTTTTTTTTTAGATATCACCGATTGAACTTGCTGTTGAGACTATGAAATCAACAAATAAGGACATACGGGATTTAATTATTGCACACAAAAATGACGAGAATATACCAATAAATCCTTTAAGCATGAAGATCAATGGTATTGTAGATCCAGCAGTAATGGGCGGTTTTAGTAAATATGAAGATGCTTTCTTAACACCTGACTACCTCGAAGAGCATCCTGATCATAATGATTTAGTTGAAGAATTAAAGGAACTGATTGCCTCACAAATACCATTATTGGAAATAGGTAAGTGTGTTCAAATATAAATATGTATGTAATACCTATATATTAACCTATATATTTTATAGCCATCGCTTTGCATAAACAAAAAGCACCGGAAAGTCTTAAACTATTTCATGAGCGACTGGAAACCTGCTTTGGAGATATGCAAGCAAATGTGGAAAGCAAATATGGCAAGAAGGTAATTAATATATATATATATATATTATATTTAGTGTCTAAATTTGTAATAAATACTTATATATAAATTTATAAATAATTTATATATCTGTAGACCTGCGACTTGAAACTAGAACGTGATTCGGTTATAATGCGCCGAAATGCTTCATTCTTGCCTACAATGTTTGATGGTAATAATCGTTTATCCGAAACGAGTATGGGCTCTTCAGAGTAAGTTTATTATATGACTGCAAAAACAAAGTTAAAATAACAACATTAATATTTCTTAATGTAGTAGCGGATTATCTAAATCAACATTCTCAACAAGGCCTCAAACCAGTTCCATAAAATCAACTTTTGCCAGTTTTAATTTTAATCCTAGGTATGAATACAATTATTTTTTTTTAATTATAAACATAAACAAAGTAATATCATTAATAGGTTTCAGTGGCCATCATAGCCACTGTATGCTGTATGCTTATATTAATTAAAACTCAATACAATATAAATACTATATATTAATAAAATAAAATAAGAAAAAGTAGTTTGTTTGTCTAATCAATTTATATCTTTTTACTCTATTTTTCTTTTTACATATAGCAGCTTAAAAATTTAATTCATAGCATAATAAATTATTATTTTATTTTATTTTATTTTATTTTCTTACAATTAGCATGAATTTCATTCATAAATTAAATAACAAGCTAATTACTAAAAACAGCTAATAATTTTTTAAAGTTGCTGTTTTATTTTAATTTTAATTTTTTACAATGCATTTATTTGCATTTATTTTTTTTATCAAAATTTATTGGATTTTGGTTTTTGCTATATAAGTTTTATAATTTTTTTTTGCATTTTGTTTACGTTTTTTTTATGTTAAAAAATAGACCAAGTTTAGGTCATTCGCCCAGCACAAAGAGTAAAACGAAAGATAAAACTCCTGCAAAAAGACGATCTATTAAAAAGGTAAATAACAATTTTTATTATATTTATTTGGTAAAACATATTAATTTACATATCTCTTTTTAATTCTATTTAGTTGGATCGTGAAACGTTAAGTCTGCCAGTAGCAAATAGTCAATGGTATACAACTCCTCTTACTACAATAACTTCTACACCTGAACGTGAATCAAATACTTCCATAACAAGTGCTTCCAATACTTCATTGTGTTCGAAAACCAGTGATCCACGTGTATTAACAGAAGAAGTAATAATTTTTGGAACTAATAACTAAATATGTTTTTAATATCGTACATTATATATATTTTAGTTAACATCTAAACGTCCTCTGCGATCTGAAAAAGAGAAGGAACGTCGTTTATCTCGACCAGCAAGTATTGCTACACCCACCGCTAGCATGAAGGGTTTTTCAACACACGAGACGCTTTCATATTCTGGTGCAGAAAGCAGCAATAGGAATTCAGTTGGTACGTATAGAAAAGTTTAACAATATCAGTCTATTGTAGCCTATAAATGTATGGTATTATGATATAATACGACCGTACAAAAGTTTAGGTTTCATATTAATGTGCTCAACGTGATAATTGTTGAGTCATAAAGTTTACGGTATTCAACCGTTAAGTAAAACCAATAAAAACGCATCCAGTCCCTGTCAGTTCTTGGGATAATACTGCTTTTTGCTTTTGTTTTTTGAAAATTTTTTGATATTGCTGGCCCCTACTTTTGATATTTATTCGATTAAGGTGATATATCTTTTTCCTGGCAACAGTCGACTATATTTATGCTTATTACTATAAATGAAACTCGATTAGTGGACTTATATTGACAATTTATCTTAATCTTAATGAGATTCCATCTTACTATTGATTTGCCATTATATTCATATAAGATATAGGACATTCTATAATCGGTATATAAATATATAATCATATTTATATAGCTACAAAAAGAAGACATTCATTGTCTTCTTTGGATATACATCCTAAATTACAATACTTTTTCACAATTTTTTTTTCTCAAACAAAAAAAAAAACAATTACCTGTAAAATATAGTGATTTTCTCTTTATAACACATATATATATATATATCACCTTAAAGACTAACATATAATATAACCAGATATTATGTTATTTGTTCAGTGATTCAATATCCACTGACAGACTTTTCATTAAATAAAATACAAATGTTACTCTAAGAATGCATAAACATGCACTTACATATAAATATCATGGTATACACAACAACAGATATATATAGATTTACATGTAATAATGAATATCTTTGAACATATCCCAAATGATCATACCATTACCCCTAAGTTAACAACCATATTAATTAATAAATTTAGCTTGGCTTGTTTTCTTATACTTAAACGAACTATGTGTAAGTAAAAACAAATTATTTGACTAAATTTAAAAAAAATATTTTTTTTCTGTTTGTCTTATAATTATTATATTATTGCCTTATGCAAAAATAAGTTATGTTTTCGTTATATCAATATCACTTCAAAGACTAGCCCCAACTAATCCCAATAATATATTTACAATTGCAAAAAATTTATTCTTTCCAAATTTAAAAACTAGCTTTAATTGTATAATTTTTTATTCCGTAGATACCACAGACTCTACATCTGAGGAGGATCTCATTCCACCACCGTTACCAGCTAAAACACGCGATTCAACTGATTTTACCAGTTTAAATTATAGCATTGATTGGAATCCAAACACATTTTCCATAAATTCATTAAGTCCAATGGGTATTATTACTACAACTAAAACCAGTATTATCAATACATCATATGAATATGTTGAAGCGAAGAATTTTGTTATTACCGATGACAAGAAACGTCCACCAACACCACCACCAAAGCCTTCAAGAAATAGTAAACACATTCCATAGAAAGTACAGAAGCTAAAATTACTAAGAGCAAAAGAAGCTCGCTCCAAAGTAGAGAACTAATTACAGTCTCTAATACATATAGAAATGATGGTGTGTATAAAAAAAAATTAAAATTAAACGCAAATAAATCACAATTAGCGATTGTGAAAACAAAAAGTGCCAAATCAAACATTTGCCTCTCAGAACTACCAAAAATATATAAATATATTTTCAAAAGTAATGAAATTATATGCACAAATCAAAATATAAATTTTAATATTAACAATGTATTGATCTTTTATAATTAATTTTTTTCTTTTATATACATATATGTAAATGATATTATGTTGAATATTGGCGTCATTTTTACGATTTTTATAATTCTAGTTTGTTAATAGTTAATTTTAAGCAATAATATTATTTGTCTTCCTCAGTTTTTAAGAACTTTTTATGGTTTTATTGATTAAAATTAATATTAATATATTTTTGTGTCATTAAACAATACACTTTTTTGTATTTTTCGTTTGGTTTTTTTTTTTATTAATAATAGATAAATTGATAATTTAGTGATAATTTAAAGTTAAAAAAAAGATGATTGGTATTTACATATTAAAGAATAATGAATAATATGTGTTCATTATAGTGAACATTTAAAATAACAAAAAAAAAAAATAATAGAACAAAATTATGTATTAAATGTTACATTCATTTTCTTATGACAAAAAGTGCCACAAACAAATTTTTCCAATTTTATTTATTCTAAAAAACTGTAAATGTTTTATTGTTAAAATAAAAAATAGTCAATTATTATAGTGAAAATAAAATTTAAACGAAATTTGTCAATTTTAGCAAGTTTAAACAAAATATTTACAGTTTTAAAAAGGAATGTATTATGTATACAATATTCAAGAGAAACGCAACGCACATTTATGTATTTATAGCAATAATAATATTAAAAATATAATAATGTATTTTTTATTACTAACTCTCTATAATACAATACATATAACAAACATTTTGAACAAATTTTTTAACAGAAAAACAAACAATGAAGCAACAAATTTTTACAAATATTTAAAAAAAACTTTTTAAATAATATTTATATAAATGCATTTTATTATTAGTTACTTATTTATTCAAATATTTTATCTATTTGGAATATTTTATAAAAAGATATATGCAATTTTAAAGTAATCAGAAATATATTTTAGTCTTTTTATATATACTTTACACTGTACTATTATTATAATTATTAAAATATGTAATAATATTTTAAGTCAGTTTTTTTTGCCTTCTATATATGTAATTTAACGTTGCAATAATTTTAAAATGCCTTATTCTTATCTTTTAAATATTTTATATTATTATTTTTATATATCTTATGTTTTAATATGTAATTAATTTTTATAGGTTTATTTTTATTGCTTTTTCAATACTAATATAATATATTAGTTATAAAAAATTTAGATCTTTGTATTAGCCAAAGAAATAATAGTTTTAAATAAAGTCAATAAAAAAATGTAATTTATTTAAAAAAACGATGGAAAACTTTATTTATATAAATATAAAAATATATAAAAAGAATTCATTTTGAAGTAAAATTTAAGTTTTTATAAATTAATTTTCTTCAACGATTCGTTTCGTTACAGTAATATCAATTTTTTTTCAAAAATCTTTTTATTTTCGCCATAAAGTATGTGATAAAATTTTAACACAACTAAAAATATTAATAAAAATACATTCTAAAACTATGCTATATATAGTTTTTAAAATGATTAAACCTAAACACATACTTTTACAAAACATACTTTTAATTGGATTTATAATAAAAATGAAAGTGATATGAAACTGGTATATATTCTAGGGATTAGACTCTACTTGATGACGAAGTGAAGTGTTCTTAGATACCATTGCCATTGGTAGTGGGCACATAGTCAGGTGGGCTAACCGCATTGCACATTTGATTTTTTCCTAAATCAATTAAGTAAATGTTATAATTTTTTGATTACGCAGATTACTTCTATAATTATTTGGTTTTTAAGCTGCAAGATCAATGATTCTCAATCTCTTATTAATTTCATAATTCGTCGATACACAAATAATAAAAAAAGTTTAAAAGAATTTTACTTATATTACTTAGAATTTTACTTTAAATACACTGTGTAAAATATTGTAGTTTAGGATTATAATTTTCAGTGTAAAATGGAGTAATTTGTATTGAAAAGACAACAGAATGCTTATTGACCCATATCAAACTTGAGTAATTTTTAAGGATTAATTTTTTTGCTTGCTACACTTGATGAATTCTTCAGATTGAAAATTGGTATTCATGACGCAGTCTTTCCTAACGTTGTAAGCAAACGTGCCTCCCATTCCCATCTTAAATGAGTTTTTGCGGCAAAATTATTATTGAACTATAAGTAACGACATAAGTAATCCGATTCACTATTCTTATCAATCGTATAGATTGTTTGAATGTTACCATAACCGAACCCAATTGAGCGCCAACAGGTTAAATCTTTAAGCCTTTGTACACTGAGCGTACATTGATATGTTTTTAATCCACTTTATTTTATTTTTATGATATACCAAATAAATGAATTTAAATTAATAAAACTAAATTAAACATAACTATATTTTTTTTTTAGAAAACAGCTATAAACATATGTATTTGTTTCTGCGGCTCTTCAATCTGTACAGTGATTTGTATTGGCCTGTGATCACATCTGGCCTGGACAGCTCTGATTTAAATTATAGTCGCTTGTTGTAGTAATTTGCGAAATGCCCAAAAAATGCATACATTAAATACTTTGTTGTCATATATATCTCTAACAGCTCGTATTGTAGCATTCTGCATTAAGTTATTCCAATAATAATTTAATTATTAAAAGATGATTATAAAAAAAAAACTCCTATAATTGAACTTTTATAAGTTGTTTTTCTTTTTTGGGGAGGGGTAGAGCTTTATGCATCGTCAAATCAATCATCGTCTCGATCTAGTGTGATTTATTCTCTAATATATTCATATGTTGTATATATATACCTCTCTTCAAAGATACTTATTCCACTGGGTCTCTCTTATGTTAATATTTTAAGTTTTGCTTTTTTGATAAATGATTTGCGTTCATATCATTACTTATTAATCTCATATTTCCTTTCCTGCCTTATTTATTAGCAACTCTTAATCGGGACTCACAAAAAGAAAATAGGGACAGCTACGCTGTAATGCAATCATATTGAATGTGTGTGAATGCAGACTTGCACAATCCACACATTCAACAGAATTGCACCAAGGCGTAGATATCTTTAATAATAATTTTTTAATAATTTTTATTAATATTATTTTATTTAATTAAAAAGTAGTACATAAAATTTCGCATAATATATCGTTGTGTGGAGGAAGACTTATTTTGTAACTAATATATGACATACAAATTTTAGAATATATATGTATGTAACATAAATATATAGATTTTAATATAATTATATAAATGAACACAGCAATAATAACTGAAATATATATAAAAAATACTTAAAAAAAATAAATAAAATTTTAATAGAAAATATTCCTTTAGGAAATTGGATTGTTTAATGACCACAGAAGAAATAAGCTTTAAGCGTGTAGTTAAGAGCAAAAAAGATTATATAAAATATTTAATATTTAATATTTAAAATATGTATTATAGTTTGATTTCACAAGAAGCGTATAAAAAGCAATAAGCCAGTTAATTTTTAGTATATATGTATGTATATATTGATCCATCATATTGATGGATATTTAAAATAGATATATTAAATTGTAAGTATAAGGCACTTAAGTATTATTGATTCCTTTTGATGAAGAAGTCGTATATTCGTTGTTGAAGACGTTTGGCAGAGGTTAAATTGAGATGCGAGCTAGATTATGGTTATAGTAGAATAATGAAAGTTTTTTAGATATGCATATCGATACATATTTTAGAGTCCCTATTTTGTTTCTGACTTATTTCTAAGACTTGGAACATTTCCTGCAATGCATCGTTGGTTTTCGTTTTGCGACGATTTCGACGTAATGTCACACGCCCAGATTTGAATTCACGTACTAAAGCGTCAAGACCTGTAAAAAATTTATATATTTTTTTAGTGATTTCCTTTATTTGATTTGATTTCACATATAATCAATATATACAACACTTAAAGCACAATTTTACAAAAATTTGTTATATTTATTAATATTTTTTTTTTTAATATTAGTTTTTATTAGATTATAGTTAGAAAAAAGTCATGCTAATGTTAGATTAACTTTGTAAACTGAGTACATTACCTTATAGACCATTCTATTTGCCCTACTTATTTATCATAGAATGTTTCAGTAAATTGTTGTTCAATATTACTTATTTTAATATTTATAAGTTAACATATAGAATAAATTTCATTTAAATACTTGTGTACTCCTAACCTGATTCATTCGGACACAAAATGTTATTTTTAATTTTATAATATTCTATATTAACAAGAATGTATGTCCTGTATTCCTCCCATATATTAAGAGATCCAGCCTTGCACATGAAACAAGAAAAATTATAAAGAAAAACGGATTGGCTTATTTTTCCATTTTAATGGAGTATCAAAGAAAAGTGTACCGTATAACCATTAATTTTTAGTCAAAAAATGATAAATATAAATTAAAAAAGCTTAAATCGTATACCAATTGTCTGAAATAAAAAAGTAGGTTACTCAGTTCAACCACAACGTAGACTACGCTTGGAAATTAGACGAAAAATTAACATTGTCAATAGGTGCTACTATGGGTTCAATAGGCAATTGGGATGTAGAGCCCTCTTTTGACTGACGGAACTTATGCTCTGTAGGTTACTGTTGTTGTAACCCGCAGGGACCTATAAGCAAATAACATGTAAGGATATACAAGACGATTACATGGGCGGGAAAGTGGATGAATGAGGTGGAGGAATGATAATAAGGAGTGGATTGGGTATGTGGGATTCAAATTGAACGTTAATTAGGAAGAAGATGTAGAGGTTAGACCGTGACTCCGAATCAAGATGACGAATCACTAACTGCGCTTGATACGAGACTGGAGAACGACAGCAGGGGCCCCTAGAAACGAGTGCTGTGTTAGACCGAAACGCGATAAGGGGTTATAATGGGCAAATAAGTAAGTCAATAAAATAACATACTTAAGAGATCGAACGCTAGACAACGGTTAATAATAGATAAATTCGGTTTCTCAGATTAAGAAATCTTTTTCAATAGTAACGTGGATTTACTAACATCTTTCTGTTGTGTATATTGGAACATATTTAATATAATATATATTTATAATGAAATAACTTCAATAGTTTGTATATTGCACATGATTTTACTGATTTCAAAAATTTATCATTAAGTTCAGAATAACTTTTATATATTAATTTAAGACTGAACATTCCGAAATAAAAGCAATGATTTGTATAAAATAAAAATAACTAAAAATACTCTACATATTGTAGCTCTGAGGGCAAGGTTCAGAAAAGTAAATAAAATTGAACAGCAAAAAATCTTGAACAAATGTCAAACTGAGATGAGCGGAAAAACAGCATTGAAAGGAGCATTGATGATAGCAATGACGATGAGGCGATGAAATTGTGTCACTTAAGCTATGACAAAATAAAAATATAATAATAAAAAATAATATGACAACAGACAATCATAGTAGAACATCGAGTATAATAATGTTACCGTTGCATAGGTGAAATCAGAATGCAGGCAACTGTGGTAAAATCTGCAAAAATCTTACTAACAATTTTGAGGATAAAAGAATAGAACTTTTTTTATTTAATTATTTATTTTCCATTTTTATTGTATTTATAGATAGAAGTCCGGAATATTTATAGCATGAACTGCGTCACTTTGGGAAGGCACGCCTTCCCTATTCAAGCAGAAGAGAGCAAGTCTATTAACTTGGCTATGTCCCTAATTTCACATGATGAAAGCTGTATCAAGCCAGTTAAAAAAAGGGGCCCCAAAGATTTCGAGTTTTCTCCCATAATTGTAATCAGTATAATCACAACCGTAATACCCTAAACTCTAAGAGGATAGACTAAGTTTTAATGTATGCCTTTCTAATACCCAGTGGCCTTTCAGCACTGATACTCTAAGATTGAGTTAGTTTCGCTTAAGTTGAAGTCGCTCACTGGTTTATTGTTATAGAGTAAGTGTTATACTTTAAATGTAATTTCGAATGATATATTGAGGGATTCTGTAAAATTGTTAAGCATCTAGCAGAATAAGCTACGGCTCATTTTTGGGTATGCCGTTCATAACATTATTCGTATTAATAATAAACAACACTTCGACTGATAAATCCGTTCTTCTATTGGTTGAATAACATCTTGACAAAATTCGGATTTGCTTATCAACATAGTCTCCTTCAAGAGTAATAGAATCATTTCAGCGCTTCTCCAACATTTCGACAACTCTCTCGTAAAATGATTCATCTTAACAGAATAAAATCTGTTTCCGTGGATCTATTTTTTTTTTTGAGGTTTACGAACAGATTGTAATCATTAGAGACTA